ATTTATTTCCAGGTGTTCAGCAGGGACATGAGTGATTTTACCTAAAAGAAAAAATTGTAACCTCCATTTTCTTGGTGCTTCAAAATTTATGAACAGTTCCATAACATCATCTCATTTTTTAATACACCAGTAACAGAGAGGCAAACAGGGGTTATCCCCATGTGACAGATGTGAAAACTGAGGCTTGCCCACAGTTGCTAAGCTGGAAAGTAAGTGGTCCAGTCAGGACTTGAGCCCCGGCTTCTGCCTCCGAAGCCCAATGTTCTTTTCATTACCCCGTGCTCATTTCACCCTTGACCCTGGCCAAGAACGAGAGCAGATGTGCTCAATGGGAGAGGCAGCATGGATGGATTAGGATAGACCCATCATGCTCCCAGAAAAATAACTCAAAATGCATGTCCTGGTGTTGATGGGACTGTAGCACATCTTCAAATACAAAAGAGAGTACATTTAATGTAGAAATGATGTTTTGATAACTGACCAAAAATCTTGAAGTTTGGATTGGTAACGTGTTAGATAAAGTGAAGCAGCAAAGGACAGTAAGTTCTAGAAACTTGAGAAAAATGCATGTCCAGGGATGAAGGGAGGGGAAGGAAGATGCAGCAAACCGCAGAGGGTCCCCCGCCCATTACTCTCCTCTGCTTCCCTCTACGGCCCGGGTCACGTCCGAAGCCTTTCTTAGGAACTACTTGGTAGTCCCCAAACACAGCTTACAGTTTGCTTTTGTGATGCCTTTGGGTCAACTCTTTTTAGAATCCCAAATATCTTCTATTAAGTAAATCCTTCTCATGTACTTAGTTTCAGGTCAAGTGTTCCTTTTCTAGGAAGCTGTTCCTAAACATCACACAGGAACAGAAGTCCATTCCTCCTCCACTCCTCTCCCATTTGATCCCTTCCTTTTGTGATGTTAGACGGTGAGAGCTTGGAGGGTGGAGACCAGGTCATTTCTTGGTGGAAGAGGCCTGGTCTAGGGGAAAAGCCACGGGCCCGGGACTTGAGAGCGAGATGCTGAAGAGGAGCATACTACTCAGCCATCTCTGGACTTAGGTTTGCAAAGTAAGAGCATGAATTAATTTTTTTTTAATATCCACTCTTGATCACAACTGTTGCCTGGATACAAAATGTTGTCTCCCTTTCAGATGTACAACAAATATATATAAAAAGTCATGAGAGAAAATGACCTCAGTGTGTGAAACTTGTAAACATTTCTGTGATCTTGGCTTTGCAGGGAAAGCCTTAATTCTTCTCTTTCAAACCTGAAGCAGAACTGACAACCATTTGTGTTCTCTTGGTTTGAAGCTTTATTTTTGTGAGTCAACGGTCTTTTTCCAGGTTTAGCTATTTCCTTAATGAAATTAATATTTCTCATGAAGTGGTTTCGTGAGGAAGTGCTCGGGGATGTCTGGGATGGGGGTGTGTGCCATTCCTGGAATGCTTCCCACAAGAAGGATTTTAGGAAGGGGCAACCATGATCCTACCCTGTCTAGGGGTTCAGGGTCTTTTCTGCTTTTAGCTCCCTTTTTGCACTTTAGGGGAGAATGTGCGGGTGTGTGCACGTGCATGCGTGCGCATACACACACGTATCTCACACACACCTTTGACTCCTTTAAGAGGAGGGTGATGGAAGAAAGCCTTGAGAGTTCACACGCTTGCCTCAGTGCTTTTCGTTAGTTTTGTTATAGAAGGAACTAAAATAGAGGAAAACTCCTTCAATCTGTGGTCCAGGCAAGTGTGGCTGCTGCCTGGTGTGGCTGCCCTGAGCGTCCAGCCAGTCCTGGAGCCGACTGACCTGCACCTCTCAGTTCCGGCAGAGATGTTGAAGTCTGGGTAGCCCCAGAATTTTCACCAACTGCTAGATGAATCCTCGGGCAGTATATTTTCTATAAAATGTGCGTTCAGAGCATGAAGATATCTCTTCTAAAGCTTTCCTCTCTAGACTTTCTAAATAACTCTGCTCCAAAGTACGGGTAAGAGCCTGAGGCCGTGAAATGCACTGAAAGGACAGTCATCCCCGAACATGTGGAGAACCAAGATCCCGTGTGCTGTAGGTGGGTCCTGCGAGGAGGACTAAAGGGGGAGTTAAGTCAGATGGCCATGGGAATGGGAATGTGGCCTCAAGAAATGGTAACTGCAGATGAATTTAGCTAAGGTGCAGAAGAGGCAAAGACAAGAATTACAAAGGAGCTAAGGTAGATGTAGGAGAGGAAGAATGTTAAGTGTACGCCCTTCAGCTGCATGACTGAGTTCAAGTATGGTGCTGCCTCATACCAGTTGTCATTTAGCCACTCCATGCTTCTATTTCCCATTGGTAGAATGGAGATAATAGTAGCTTTTCATAGGGTGGTGTAAATATTTTAGTGAATTAATGTGTATTAAGTGCTTAAAACAGTGTCTGGCACAGAGCAAACATTATACAACTCTTAGCTATTATTACTAGTACCATTACGTCACTATTACTATTATGATGAGATCATCATCATCACTGCTATAATGTTATTCATAAGGGACCAGTTCTTGAGTAGAGCAGTATAATAGTAGGTACTGAATTCAAATGGTACTTAGTAGCATCTTCGTTTGGTTGTGTCTCATTTTTGGATCACCAGAGATGCATTTTTTTCTCTCTCTAGGGAGTGGAAAAGTGTATCTCTGTATGAATGACTACTTTATACACATTAAATGTTTTGATGAAAACACCTGATTGGTTCAGATAAAGCCATTCTTCCAAAAGGCTTGCAGCACTCTCCGATGGCTCATTTTTTCAGTCCTTTACTCTCCTGGGATACATTCTCTACCAACTGTTCAGCTACTGTCTTGGGTCTGCTATTCAGAATCTTAATTATGCTGTACAGCATGAATTGTATGTGGATGAATAGAGCATCCATAAAGAATATTGAGATGTTTCAGGATCAGGGGGTGTGTGTGGGAGATGGGGCACGCGGTGACTGGGTGCATCCAGGTGCGAGCAAACAGTGATGGTGTGTCACGTTCATTGTCATTTCCTTCTTAGATGACTATGCCCAGCTGTGTAACATCCCCGTCATGGGACGCCGGCAGCCATATGGACAGGATGCCTTGGTCGACTTCAGTGAACAATACGCTCCCGAAGCTGATCCCTACTTCATTCAGGACCGTAAGCAACATTTTTAGTTACTTTGGAACTAAATTGTGTTTCTGAAGTTTAGTCAGTGGTTCTCAAAATGTAGTCCCTGAGAACTTGTAAGAAATGCAAATTTGCGAGCTATGCTGTAGACCTGCTGAATCAGATACTGGGGTGAGACCCACCAAATCGGCTTTACCAGCCCTCTGAGTAAGCCTTACGTACACTCAAGTTTGAGAACCACCGGATCAGATTATGAGTCTCACTGGTGGGAATGCTATTACTTTTATTTTCTTTCTTTCTTTATTTTTATAAATTTATTTGTTTTTATTTTTGGCTGTGTTGGGTCTTTGTTCTGTGCACAGGCTTTCTCTAGTTGCAGCGAGTGGTGCATGGGCTTCTCATTCTCGTGGCCTCTCCTGCTGCAGAGCACGGGCTCTAGATCACAGGCTCAGCAGTCATGGCACGTGGGCTTAGTTGCTCCGCGGCATGTGGGAGTCTACCCGGGCCAGGGATCAAACCCGTGTCCCCTGCATTGGCAGGCAGATTCCCACGCACTGTGCCACCAGGGGAGCCCTATTTATTTTTTTATACAGCAGGTTCTTATTAGTCATCAATTTTACACACATCAGGGTATACATGTCAATCCCAATCTCCCATGCATCACACCACCACCCCAACCCCCCCCCACCACCACTGCTTTACCCCCTTGGTGTCCATACATTTGTTCTCTACATCTGTGTCTCTATTTCTGCCCTGCAAACCAGTTCATCTGTACCATTTTTCTAGGTTCCAAATATATGCGTTAATGTATGATATTTTTCTCTTTCTGACTTACTTCATTCTGTATGACAGTCTCTAGATCCATCCATGTCTCAACAAATGACCCAATTTCGTTCCTTTTTATAGCTGAGTAATATTCCATTGTATATATGTACCACATCTTCTTTATCCATTTGTCTGTCAGTGGGCATTTAGGTTGCTTCCATGTCCGGGCTATTGTAAATAGAGCTGCAATGAACATTGTGGTACATGACTGTTTTTGAATTATGGTTTTCTCTGGGTATATGCCCAGTAGTGGGATTGCTGGATCATATGGTAATTCTACTTTTAGTTTTTTAAGGAACCTCCATACTGTTCTCCATAGTGGCTGTATCAATTTACATTCCCACCAACAGTGCAAGAGGGTTCCCTTTTCTCCACACCCTCTCTAGCATTCGTTGTTTGTAGATTTTCTGATGATGTCCATTCTAACTGGTGTGAGGTGATACCTCATTGTAGTTTTGATTTGCATTTCTCAATTAGTGATGTTGAGCAGCTTTTCATGTGCTTCTTGGCCATCTGTGTGTCTTTGGAGAAATGTCTGTTTAGCTCTTCTGCCCATTTTTGGATTGGGTTGTTTTTTTTAATATTGAGCTGCATTAGCTGTTTATATATTTTGGAGATTAATCCTTTGTCCATTGCTTCGTTTGCAAATATTGTCTCCCATTCTGAGGGCTGTCTTTTTGTCTTGTTTATGGATTCCTTTGCTGTGTAAAAGCTTTGAAGTTTCATTAGGTCCCATTTGTTTATTTTTGCTTTTATTTCCATTACTCCAGGAGGTGGATCAAAAAAGATCTTGCTGTGATTTATGTCAAAGAGTGTTCTTCCTATGTTTTCCTCTAAGAGTTTTATAGCATCTGGTCTTACATTTAGGTCTCGAATCCATTTTGAGTTTATTTTTGTGTATGGTGCTAGGGAGTGTTCTAATTTCATTCTTTTACATGTAGCTGTCCAGTTTTCCCAGCACCACTTATTGAAGAGACTGTCTTGTATATCCTTGCCTCCTTTGTCATAGATTAGCTGACCATGGGTGCGTGGGTTTATCTCTGGGCTTTCTATCTTGTTCCATTGATCTATATTTCTGTTTTTGAGCCAGTACCATATTGTCCTGATTACTGTAGCTTTGTAGTATAGTCCAAAGTGAGGGACTCTGATTCCTCCAGCTCTCCTTTTTTCCCTCAAGACTGCTTTGGCTATTCGGGGTCTTTTGTGTCTCCATACAAATTTTAAGATGTTTTGTTCTAGTTCTGTAAAAAATGCCATTGGTAATTTGATAGGGATTGCATTGAATCTGTAGATTGCTTTGGGACGTTTATTTTCTTTAAAGAAAATCTTACTTGTTATAATTTCCATGAAGAAATCATTTTTTTACCCATGAAGTGGTGGCCTAGTTTAAGGGTCAGTTTTCTTGATAGCTTGGTTATTATATTGTCTTTTTTCATACAAGGAAATGGTAAATATTAACTGTACTGATTTTTAACATCTTTATTGTAGTTGCTTTACAGTGTTGTTGTGTTAGTGTCTGCTGTATAACAAAGTGAATCAGCTATACGTATACATATATCCCAATATCCCCTTCCCTCTTGCGTCTCCCTCCCACCCTCCCTATCCCACCTTTCTAGGTGGTCACGTAGCACTGAGCTGATCACCCTGTGCTATGCAGCTGCTTCCCACTAGCTATCTACCTAAATTCGGTAGTGTATATATTGTCAATGCCTCTCTCTCACTTCATCCCAGCTTACTCTTCCCCCTCCCCATGTCCTCAAGTCAATTCTCTTAGAATAGGAGATAAAACGATTGCTCTCCTGGTCAGAGATTAATCTTTAGAATTCACTTGTGAGGGGGTTTATTAAGTAAGAAATGATGTGTGATGCTCTTCCTGGATTTGTGAGCAGACTTTTCAAATGGGAGGTGGAGTGTGTATGTGTGAATCCTGTTCCTATTTAGAAAGTAAATGTACAACCAGAGTGTCCCGGATAAGGAAGCCACACAAGCTAAATATGTCTGTGGGAGAGACCAGAGCTTTCAAATACAGACTAATTATGTGAAGTCTGAAAAATGGGATGGTACAAATTTGAAATAGCAGTAGATAATGGGTTGTCTGCCTTCAAGAATGGGACTAGAGCAGTGGAGTCCAGGTGCCTGTTCCACATCCTACAGAGGGGGCCTCACTGCAGCAAGTGAAGCTGCTCCAGATTTTCAAGACAGAATCCCTGCAGACCAGGTAGTTGGGGTTAGGACTTTGGAGACACTGCTGAAATTATAAAATACAGCAATGCTGTTCTTTCTTTGGGACCTTTCACCTGTGCACAAAGCAAACTAGCTGTGACCTGGGTCCTGAGGAGCAACACAAGCTTTGTGGCTGCCTCTGGATCTACTTGAGTTCTGCCAAAGAGTGTTTTCCTCCTTCCCTCTTTCCC